GGCTTGCTTTGAACCAAATCTTTCTACCTGTCCTTGCAGAACACCATGGCTACTCTCAAAGAAAAGCTGATGACCTCCATTGCTCCGGGCCCTGCGGTCCCCAGCAACAAGATAACCATAGTGGGCGTTGGACCGGTTGGGATGGCCTGTGCCGTCAGCATCCTTGGAAAGGTACGGCTCAAAGGCCATGTGGTGTTCCACTTCCCACGGCTGCAATGTCCTGTACTGCTACTGCATGTTTGCCTTAGCAAATGGTGGGAAATTTGGTAGGTTAGTACAGGAATGAATTATTTGCAGTTAGTGTAAGCAAGCAGTGATCTACAGCCTTCATGCAAAGCTGATTGCCCCTTTGGTTTCTCCTTGTCCTCCCACCTTGCCATCCGTGCCTAGCAATAAATCTCTCATTAGGCAGAGTTATTTTGCAGGCTGCTGGGAGAATGTAGTGAGCAATAGCTCCGAAGCCCTGGCTAAACTTTTCTTTCTCTTTTTAATTTTATTTTTCTAAAACAAAGCTGGAGTTTGCTGGGCGAAGAACACAGAGCAGAAATCCATGTGAAATAAGGGATAGGAATCGGAACTATGCATGATGCTTTTTACTCTTTTAGTGCATATGTTCTGTAGTAACTGAAAATACTGCTATCCCCTTCAGTAGGCTTCTTTATTTTTCTTAAGCTCATATATGACTTTATTGTTTCCAGAGAAGTTTAAGCTAACTTTCTGAAAACTAAAAATAGAGGGCTAGACTTAGAGGTTCTTCTGACTTTTCCTGTTACTGGTTTCTGGAGTGTTTTGGCAAAGCTCATGTTGCAGTCTTTGAGCAAAGGAAAGGCTTATTATACATTAAGGATCCCTTGTATTTTGCCCTTTGTTTTTAGATAGTATTGTAAATGTGTTAAATTTGATTCCTCTCATGCTGTTGTCAAAAAGACAAGTGGGAGCTGCAGGCCTCTTTTAAAAGAAGGCATAGACAGATGTGCCCTACCTTCTTGCAGGGGCAGGTCTTAAACCAAGTAGCTCACAGTGAGATCAGAACTCTTGTATGTACTGTTAAACCAGCTGTATCTTATTTGGAGATGATCCTTCCTCTACCTGCTGCCTTTAGGATGCATGTTTTAAAGTACTGGGGTTTTAATAATTTTAAAAAATATAAGGGTTTTCACTTGCTGATATTCATGAGTCTTGTGAGCAAGAAAAACTGACAGTAAGAAAAGGCCACAGTGAAACTAAGTACTGGTGTGAAAGTAACAAATTATTTTTTCCATTAAATTTCTCCTTTAGTTATATAGTTTTAAAAACTATGACAGTTCAATTTGTGTTTTTATTTTTTTAAGCAAATATTTACCTCTTGTGGACTGAACTCATTTGTTTTTGGAGTACTGTAACCTGTAAGGTTGGCAGTGAGGGAGCCAGGTGAAGTTACCACAAACCTCACTACAATCCCACATTCATCAGTGTTTAATACACTGAGTAGGATCAAACTGTGCTTTCAGAAATCTAGGCACAAAGCTTTACTGTTGATGAGTTGTATGCACCAAACCCAGAGTAAAAACTGGTGTAGAATTTCTCAAAATTGGATTATGGCATGAAGTGTATTTCAGCCAGGATTCTGCTCTCCATTATTCTCCCTTGCAAGAATAGGTTGAGTATAAAACACTTTTATAACAAAACCATACGATTCTCGTCATAGCATTTGATGTGGCTTTGACTTGTAAAAGATGTTTGGCTCCCCAGGATGTCTTTTGGTTAAACCAGGGCATAAAATTTTGTACTGAATCTTCTATAATATGTAGACACAGTTGAGTTTTAGATGGCTTTTATAAAATTGAACAGTGTGATAATACTAATTTCAGTTTAATGGTATTGTATTTAATATAAATATGACACTAGAACTTCCATGTTGGTTATTTTTAGCTCCCTCTCAGTTAGAAACATCACTGATGTTGCCATACTCTTTTAGAAAGGAAACATCTCCACAGTCACAAGTCAGCTGTTCTCAATGAGACTATTTTAAACTGTATTTGGTGATTGTGTGGACTTCATTCCTGTGTGTGCTAATAATGAGCTGAATTCTTCTCTAGGCAACAGTGGTGCAAATTCATGACACTAGTCACTGGTGTTATTCCAGGTGCTCTTCTGTTTCAGTGAGAGGTGGCTCCTTGACCATGCTGAGTGCTGAATGTTGGTTGGAAGGTCTAGACTGAAAGTTCCATATTGTTAGACTGTGTAATGTAAAATCTATATGTGATCACACATGTGCACACATTCTTTTTTCAACTTCTTTTTACACTTAATTCTTAGTTTAACACCAGTGACTTCAGTTAAGGATACTTTTTCATAATGTTTAAATAACTGAGACTTTAATTTTACCCTGTAGACTATTTTGAGAACAGAGCAAGTGTTGGATTCTTATAGTTTTCCTTCAGCAGTTGATCAAATCAGCTGGGAAAGGAAACAATGCAGAAAAGCAATGTACTCTAACATGATTTTGAAGTATAGAATGAAAAACTTAAATATGCCTGCTGTTAAATATATTCTTCCACAGGAAAAATTGTGCATGATGTTGCTGCATGTTTAAAGTAGTTTAGTTTATTCAAATAATGAATATTTCCATCTGAAGTAATGAGTGTTACCTTGTTACATAAAAGTAAACAAAGCTTGCTTGCAGTAACACTTTCAATAGCATGAAAATAGCTTAACTGCTTTCAAATGGGGTGTCGATACCTAGGAAAATAGAAGTAACTTAAATCTCAGTATAATTTACTGAATGATAAGCCTGTAAGTATAGTAGAATTTGCAAGGGTAGTAAACACTTCTGTCAGAAGGCAATAAAACTTTGCATTATAGCAGAAGGCCTTTTTCCTCCACCCCAATATTTTCCTGTTTTCCTGATCTGAGACTATATGACATTATCTCCCAGTTTAACCTGGCTGGACAAGAAGCATACATGGCTAAATCTGTTCTGCAAAGTAAATATAATGTAGTAGCTCTAGCAGGAAAAAAAATGAGGTAAAGAATCTGTTTTCTTTTGATAGTAATTTAGTATCGAGGAATATAAGTCTGTTCTCATTCTGGTTTTTATGTGAAACGAATTGGTTGAAGAAATGATACAAAAGAATATGTATTTGATAATTATGTGTTGTATTAGGTATTTAAATATTTAAAATGGGCCTATTTGCTGGATAGATTTAGAGTGTTTGTTATGAGTCTGAAAAATGTAAGCTTTTTCCTAAGATAACTAAATCATGACATGCCTTACTAGCAGAGAGCTAGCTTTTCATTCAGACTCTCCACAAATAATACCTTTTTTTGAAAGGCTGAATGAATAATATGAGCCTGTGCTGAAGTAGCCTCTGACTTTGTTACTGTGAGATACATCAAAACACCAAGGTGATGCTGTCCTACTAGTTTACCTTTGGAGAAGAGATGCTTTCAGATGTGTAACATGTCATTTTAAAATGTAATATAGCTTAATTCAGGGGTAACTTTTAAAATGCAAGCTAACTGCTTCATTGACTCCTTCAAATTTTGTTGTTTTCAGGGTATTTGTGATGAACTTGCTCTAGTTGATGTTTTGGAAGACAAACTAAAAGGAGAAATGATGGATCTACAGCACGGGAGCTTGTTCCTTCAAACTCACAAGATTGTGGCAGACAAAGGTGAACCTCAGTTTCTTTTATTTAATACTGATATTCTGTGAATTTGCTGAATAGTGGAGCATTAGTTGTGTAATCCTAAAGAACTCTAGGGATTTGGCTTTGAAAAATTAAACTATATGAACTGGGGTAAGAGTACAGATGAGCACTATAACAATGGGAGTGGCTCTTAATCTGGGCTTTCTCTTACATCTCTAATAGCCACTTTAGTTTGGGGCTTGTTGAGTAAAATTGATTTTAATGAAACTCTAGTACCTCTTTGATGTAGAAGAAATAGTATTGTTATTTGGGTAGTGGAAATGAGATTCAGAGGGTTCAATGTACTCCGAAGGCCCATATACTGATATATCGGGACAATGTTACGTGATGGTGCTGGCTATGATATTGATGTCTTGTGTTTTGGGGGGTTTGAATGTATGCACAGTGGAGAAGCTACCCATAATAGCTGTGTGAACACAATGCTACTGAAATTAGTGATAAGTCTAACACATTCCATGTATCCTCTTCCATGCTGTGTTGTAGACTATGCTGTTACAGCCAACTCCAAGATTGTTATAGTAACTGCAGCAGTACGCCAGCAAGAGGGGGAGAGTCGTCTCAGCCTGGTTCAAAGGAATGTGAATGTCTACAAATTTGTCATCCCTCAGATCATCAAACATAGCCCCAACTGCACCATCTTGGTGGTTTCCAACCCAGGTAAGGCAGTCTATTCCTAGAACGTCAACGAATACTGTCAGAGAACTAGTGTTTTATTTTATCTAATCTTGTCAAATACAACTTGAATGCTGAAAATTAATAGCTCTGCATAGACACCTGCCACATAGTTGCTATCCACAAAATACAAACCAGTATTCTGTACTTTCTGATGCTTTTTTAATTCAGAACTTCTCATGGTGTCCATATTTTAAAAGTATGCTTCAAGATAAATGCTTCAGTTTTCTACATAAATTGGCTTAAGCAGCAGTTTAAAATTTTTATGTCTAAAGGAGGCATCCATTTTGCTTTTAAATGGTTTGTAAAACAACTTTCTTTTGTGTCTAGATATGATGTGGCCATTTTTGGGATGAAGAACTTGCACTATAGTCTTAGCTGTATTTTCAGGAAAACTTTGCGTGCTTTTATAATACTTCGTTTTCTCAACGTGTGGAATTTTGTCCACTAGTCTTATATAGTGGAAGTTATTGTGAGCCCATTAGAAGGGACTTCAGGGATGCTGGAGTGTCAGGGGTGTCTACTGTATGTGTTGGTGTATGACCTTGATGTCCTTCCCTGTTTAACTTCCCCAGATCTCTCTGGGCTCTAGCTCAGACAGCACTGTCCACAGCCTGTCCTGAGTGTGGAAAGCCTTACTGTAGGCAAACATGGAGATTACAAAGCAGCACTCGAAGTCTGGGTGCAGGTCTCAGCACCTGACTTGAAAGCCAGACTGTCTGGAGGAATTGTAGCTGTTAGGGAGGTACTCTGTGGTCTGTACAGATTACTGGGACCCTGGCAGGAACTGCTCCAGCTGAAGCTGTAGGGAAGCTGTGCCTGATGAGCAGGCCACTTGTAACAGCAAGGTGTGAACTGTACAGAGATGACATGCATTTGGTGCCTGAGCAGAGCAAATTATGTATTTCAGATCTATATACACAAATATATTCCCTCCTGAGAACTGGCTTTTGAGAGTTTTGGAGCTGTAATTAATTACTGCAGCCTGTTTATTATTGTTGCTTTGAGCTGTGGATTAGAGGTTTCTCTCTCTGCTCACGTACCCCTCTCTCTGCCCCAGCCTAGGTTTGTTTTTTTCTAAAGTGGTGTTAGAGCCACATGCAGCTAAAGCATATTGCTCATCTGGCTTTCAGTGTTACAGAGGTCATCAGTGCAGAGACTGCTTAATGCACAAATCTCCAAGAAATTAAGATGAAGTAGTTGCCAACTAGAAACAGAGTACCTAAATAAATATCAAATGTGTTTCACTGTAAATTGCTTTACCTCTTATTGTGATAATGAAGTGGAAGGTAACATTAATTCAGGAAACTGTTGGAATGTTTTAGCTACAGGAGTTTAGTCCCAATTCTGGATACTCTAAGGGCTTAGCTGTGACAAAAAGGTGCCTCTAACTTTAGTTGGTAGGATACTAATCTCCAAAGGTCTTCCTCAGTGTTCTTCGAACAGTAGCTTGATGTGTCCTAAATTTCAAGCAGTGCATTAATTTTAATCCCCCAAATAGTAAGACCTAAAATACCAATGAGGACAACTGTGTTTTGAGTCCTTCTGATTGATTGCTCTATTACTTGCAGTAAAGTAATTGTTGGAGCATTCTTGGTATACATGAATGGCTTAATTCATTGTGTATGTCTTTCTTTTCAGTGGATGTATTAGCCTATGTCGCATGGAAGCTGAGTGGCCTGCCAAAACACCGTGTGATTGGAAGTGGCTGCAATCTTGACACAGCTAGATTTCGCTATCTGATCGGTGAAAGACTTGGTATTCACCCAGCCAACTGCCATGGCTGGATCTTGGGAGAACTCGGTGATTCTAGTGGTAAGGAGTAGTGCTGACCTCCTTGGGAATAAGCATTACAATGTTAGAGCCTGAGGCCTAAGGGGTGTTATAGAAATCTGAAAACAGATACAGCTGAGCTTGAGTAACTAGCACTTTGCCATGTTTTTATGAAGTTCAGGGTTGATACAAGTCCAGGAAACCTAGATATACTTTTTTAATAAAAGTGATTGTGGCTGTATGATTAAACCCTGGAGTGAAAAAGCCAATTTTGTTAGCTAAAGTTGTGCTCTAAAGGTTACAGCTTGCTACTTCTGTTTATCCTCTGTTTTTGGAGTATCATAACTCAGTTATCATCAGTTTTTGGAGTAGCTGGTAGCACAAGCTTCCTCTGAAAGCAAAATTAGCTCTTCTTATGTCAATAGCAGAGCCTGATACAAATAGTAGGAAAAGCTAACAATCCAGATTCAGGCTAACAAAATGAGCTCTTATCTTATTTTGTGACTTTTCTCCATGCTATTTAAAACAGAATCACAGAATGTTAGGAAGGGACCTTGAAAGATCATCTAGTCCAACCCCCCTGCCAGAGCAGGTTCACCTACAGCAGGTCACACAGGAACATGTCCAGGAGGCTTTTGAATGTCTCCAGAGAAGGAGACTCCACAGCCTCTCTGGGCAGCCTGTCCCAGTGTCCTGTCACTCTTACAGTGACAAAGTTTTTCCTTATGTTTACATGGAACCTCCTACACTCCAGCTTGCACCCTTTCCCCCTTTTCCTACTGTTGGACATCAACAAGAAACCATGTGAAATCAAAGCAGCTTATTTGTCTTCATTCAATTCATGTATTTCAAGTCTGAAATGATGTAGCAGAACATCTATGTAGATTGGTACTGTTTTATATTTTAGTACTGTGTATTTCTAATGGAGCCACATCTTCAATGTCCCATTGCATCTGATCAAGGTGTCTAATCAACAACAGTATTTACAGAAGCCAGCCCTACACTGTAATAAAAACAGAGCTTGGCTGAGTACACACAGAGCTCACCTTGCTTCAGTGTTATAGCTGCTTTTGCTTTGGAGTAACTAAGAAATTTCCTAGTTACTTCACAGGAACAGGGAATGAGTCTGCCTGTAAGCCTCCAATATGAAGGTCAATGTGCAAATTCCTCTCAGTATTATAAGTTTGCATATTGCTACTCTGGGGAAATAAGAGTAGAATTCTTGAATTACTGATATTCAAGATTCCTGATTAGTGGGACAGCAAATAGATACTTACATTTTTTTAAGTAAAATTAGCTTTTAAAGGCTGAACAGTTAGGATGTACCTTTTTGCTAGAATTTGAGTTTCAGACTTCAAATGTCTACCTGTTTTAAAGGACTGAAAGCTCTGTTGTTCACATTTGACCCCCAGAGTTCTTAGAACTAACTGTAGTTAAATGAAAACTTAAAATCTGCCTCAAATCTGGCTACTAGTACTTTGTTTCCAACTTGGGTAGGAAGAGTGGAGGAGGAGTCACTAAATGCTATTGAAACTTATGTCCCCTCTCTCTGTTACAGTGCCTGTTTGGAGTGGAGTTAATGTGGCAGGCATTCCTTTCCAGGAGCTGAATCCTGCTGCAGGAACTGAAAAGGATGGTGAGAACTGGAAGGATCTCCACAAGCAAGTGGTTGAAAGGTACAGTGACTTGAGGAATAAGGTGATAGATGTGGTGCTGAAAATAGCGAGTCTGCACACTGCTTCCTGCCTCTCCATTCTGCTGCAGCTTTCATGCCCTTTTATTTAGAGGCTTGCAAGAGTAAGTGGAACTACTTGTTTAAACACAGAAATACAGGATTTCAGTTGGTAAACTTTATTATCCTGCAGTGAGACAAGCTATTGCATAGCATATCCACTTAGTACTGCAGCACTTGGAGCTCTGCGCACTTGTTTTCTCACAAGTACCTTCTTAAATAGGTTAACTTTGCTCAAAGCGCACGAGACTCTAAGAGAAGTTCTGTTTTTGTGAGCAGAGCATTGGAGTTGATTTGGGAAAACTTGTTCATTGATCTAGGGAAATTTTTCTAGAGGTAACCATACATATTGCTAAACCATTTGTCTTGTGAAATAAGGACTATATTGGTATAAAGTGTATGCAGACATTAGTTAAAAAAAAACTAGGATGTGTGTGCAGGTAGTGCATGACTGACTAAATGTTTACCTATTCCAAAGGCACTCAGAATGATTGTGCCACTAACTTGAATAGAGAGCTTGTTCAGTTGTAGGTATCTTTTTTTTCCTACTTAACACTAAGAACTCTTCATAGATGGAAGCTATTTTTCTTTTTAGTTATCCTGTGGAAACAATAGGGCTTCTTTATTATACATTTGGGATAGTGTAGATCTCATACTTTATCTTCTAATCCTGAAATATTTAACTCTTACATTTTTTTAATTCTAAATCTTACAATGTATGTCACACAGTTTTCAAATATTTTAAATGGAAAACATTTACTCATCTTAAGACTAGTGTTCACACAGTGTCTTGAAGACATTTTAATGCAACTGTATTTCAATATTTCCTTAGTGCCCATGAGGTAAACAGACTTAAGGGATACGTAAGCTGGGCTATTGGCCTTAGCGTTGCTGACATCTGTGAGACCATGCTGAAGAACTTGTGCCGGATTCATTCAGTCTCAGTACTGGTAAAGGTAAGAAGTGGTGGCTACTTGGATGCTCTAGTTCATTTTGTTGTTATGGAAAAGCTAAATAGTCTCAATTAGCAAGGTGCTGAACAAAGGAAGCTTTGTAAAATACTGCTTTGAATTTAAAATGGGAGCTTACTATTGCAGTTTTCTAGTCTGACCTCTTGGCTTCAGCTCCACACTTGTGAGGAGGGCAGACTAAGTTCTTTGTAGTCTACCCAGTGTTGTATTACCCTTGCATAAAGTTTGCCATGTGTGGCATGCAGATTCATTAAAAAGGAAGTTTCAGTACAAAAATGGAAAACTTCATGGAGGCCCAGCTGTGGTTCCATGAACCACTTACCTAGCAAAGGTGCCAGGGAAGAGAGCTGTGTCCTTTTGTAGCTGGTGTAACTGGCAGCATCTGGTCTGCACCTGTGTAACCTCTGGTGCAGCAAGGACTCTGAGCAGGCTGAACTTACTGCTCCCTCTGCAGTCAGGGGAAAAAAGACCTTCCCTAATCCTATGTCTTTGAATTTTGGTAGGTATTTGTGCTATATAAATGAGGGGTCTGGAGGTGGGGTTTCTGAAATCAACCATCTCAGTATTGTCAATCACTTGGATTAAAATAGTTCTGAGGTTTTTATTGTCCTCAAATACATTGTGACTGAAAACTGGAACTTTCTACAGGCTGCAAAATGTTAAAGTCTTAAGCTCCACTCTCAGAAGGCTTCATGCTATGTAAACTTAAACCAGGTCTAGGGTGATGGACTCATGTTTGAATGATCTCTTTTTGTTGCAGGGCATGTATGGCATTGAGAATGATGTCTTCATGAGCCTTCCTTCTGTCCTAAGTGCCTCTGGATTGACAAGTGTCATCAACCAAAAGCTGAAGGATGATGAGGTGGCTCAGCTGAAGAAGAGCGCAGAGTCATTATGGAACATCCAGAAAGAAATCAAAGATCTCTAACTCATGAATGTTAGATTCCAGCAACAGAAAAACAGTGTGTTGTGTGCAAATGTGGGCTCTACTCACCATACATCTCTATGGTTAACATTTAATGCTCTTTCAGACTGAGCTTTGTCCACAGTAGCTAAATTTATGCTTGCTGTAACGCACAGACCTTATGAACAAATAAAGCAACTTTCAGGCATGCTTTGTCCTAGTGACTTATTTCCAGCATTTAAATTACCTAGCATTCTCCTTTAATGTTTACCCCAGACTATATGGAAGTGTAGTCACACATGTCCTTTTAAAAGGTTAGAAACAATGTAGTAATCACCTGTGATGTGATTTCACTAAGACAACCTGACTGGGAGCCTTTTCTGTGTGATTTAGTTTCAGTCTAGATGCTGACTAAGTGTGGTTCATTCCCAGACTTGTTTCTGATACAGTATTTGCTATTTTTTTTTCCTGATGGGTAGAGGAAATTGAATAGGGATTTTCCTCTGGGCCACCTGCCAAAATACACCAAGGTTAAGGTTCTATGCCACTGGCCTAGAAAAGGGGTCCTGTAGATCCTTCTCTTTTGGATTCAGTTCTTTGCCTGTTATTGGTGCCTAGCTTTCATAATGTTTAGAACAAACAAGGTTCTTTCCTATTTGATTACCAAAATCCAAGGGTTTTTTTAGAGTTAAAGACTGGACTCCCATGGTAATCTTGTCTATAGAACAAGTCAAATTGAGCCTTTAATACTTAGATTTCAGCATGATTTTCACATGTGTTTATATACTTGGGGAGAGAACAGATTTAAAAGTAAATCCCGAAGTTTTATTTCTTGATCACTTCCAATTATGGAGCAGATATAATAGCCAGCACTTGACTGGAATGCCTAGAACTGCTCAGCCTAAATGTCCAGGGGACAAACAGTATCATAATTCAGGGGTCTGCAAGTCTTGTTTCATCTGAGACACCTGGAGCAATTTAAAGGCCTTTTCTTGCTCCATTAAAATGCTTTTGAGTAGTGGACTAAAACACATATACAAGCAAATAGCTTAATTATTATAATTCCTCTTAAAAGGTCATGCAAGTCCTGTCATTGCAAGATAACTCCTATGATTTGGTCAGTGTCATGTAGATAATGAAATATCATGTGTGGGATGCTGGTGACAGCACTATTTACAAAGGATATCCCAAGACGACCTTAGGACATGTTTCATTCTTGGTTGCAGGCTAAATGCCAGACTCCTTTACTGATAGGAGAGGGAGAATTATAGTCTCTGCTTTCATAACTCATGGTGGAGATCTTACTGGAAGGCTTTCCACTCCTGGATAGATTAGCTTAACTTTCTGCTAAGAACTGCTCATGATCTGCTATCATGAGGTAAATGATATAAGCTGCTGCTCTTTGCAGGACATGCCCGTTAGCAATTTTCCCTTGACCACATTTAGTTGGCTACCTTGCACGGTTCCTTCCTGGCTTCGTCCTTACTTACTGTTCTCAGTTAGTAAAATAATTTAAAGCTATGTTATGTGACGTGATCTTGCAGGATTCTTGAGACTGATGTGTATGAAGAGGCCTCAGTTGTGTTAAGAGGAAAGGGAGTGGGCCCTTTTAACTTCTGACAGTGAATCTTGTTTTTAAAGATCACTCGGGTACACTAAAACTCTTTTGTCCCTGATGGCATCAGTGTGCGCTCCTACCCTGTTAAAGTGTAGGTCATACCTTGTTCTGTTGTCAGCAAACTGAGGCCCAAAGGAGCTTGAGACACAGTGAAAGGAACATGGTAATCAGTGGTTGAGCTGGGAAGTTACTGTCACCTCGTGTTTAACTACTTCTTCAGTCCTCTCTTGAGTCCACAGAGGTGGGTTTTTTGTTAGTGATCATGGACATAACAGTACACTATCTTTTGTGCCTTGATGTGAAGCAACCAGAGAGCTAATGACAATCTTTACTACAAAAAAGTGTGACAAAAAAAAGTGAGTGGATACAGATAAAGCAGGGAGCTGAAGGAATGAGGAAAGAACAGTGGTTTGCATGATGAGCACTTTTCTTAGCACATCAGCAGCCTTGCTGTAGGAACTCCTACCTTGGGGGAGATGATATCATGAAGGAAAACTCTTAAGAAATGCAAACAACAATGAACTGTCTGTGGGTGTTATGAGGGATTGGTTCAAAATGGTTAAATAGGAGAGTATCTGAGGCTGGGGGATTTTGAGGTTTTATAAATAGGATCTTCAGACTTTTTTGCATTCACTGATGTTTGTAAGCCCTATGCAAGTACGTTAATTATATCGTAATTATTTTTTGTTACAAGTCTTATCACGCAGTCTTGTATCTTAACTTCACTGCAGTCGCATGGCTGCAGAATAGCTTCCCTACGTATGCTTACACAACATCAGCCTATCACTTCCTGTTACTTGGAGTTTATCCATAATGTAGTGTAATATCAACCATAAAAATCCCTTAATAATTATATTGCCATAGTACTTCATCTCTAAAAGATACTTGTGTGGTTTTTTTCTTGACCATAATAGACTCATGCTTATCTTTTATATGCTTTATTTGTATAGCCCATTGATACAGGAACTTTGTTCTTGTTTTATCCCATGAAAGGCAATACATGTTTTTAATCATGTTCCTATGTGTCAAGAGGTACCTTTGTCACTCCTTGGTCTAACAGGAAACACTGCAGTGCTGCTGGACAGGGTAGTTCAGCCAGTGAGAAGCAGCAGAGCAGAACGCTTCAGAAAGCACTGAAGACAACCTGCTCGACTCACATGAGGTATGACCAGTAATGTTATTTTAATTGCTATAAGGACCTAGACCCCCTTGCATTTGCAGGTATATAGATACAGGGTACAGAATAGAAAGTCAGTCTGACTACCCTGCAAATGTCAGATGGGACAAGCAGCTACTGACAGACACCAGAGACAGGAGGGATACTACTGGCATGGTTGTGCCAGAGGAACAGAACTCAGTCCCCTGAGTTACACTCAGCCTCAGATAATTGCTGTCACTGCTGTGTTTGTATTGTGGCTTTCCAAAGAAATGTATGTGAAGGAGGTAGAGCTTGACTTTTCCACCTGCACATCCAGAACGTTGAGATGAGTAACATCCTTTGCTTTATTACCAGCCTGTATAGCAACTCTGTGCAAGCTTAGTAAAACAACAAACAGTGCTGTTAGTGGTAATCAGCCATCACTCAATATCTGAGGTAAAAAAAATCCATGAAATTTGTCAAAATATCATGAAGGTGGATTGCTACCAGCATTGATTTCTGCAAGAGAATATTCATAATTCTTGCTCTGTGAGATGTGCTAAATAAAAACACAAAGGGAAGAAAAAAACCCCAACATTTTGCTTAAGATAGTTTTCTCTGTGCTGCTATTTCTGTATTTCAGACAAGACAGAAATGCAGTTATTTCCAAAGCCTCTGTTCATTCAGCACTCTCTACCAGTAGATGATACTGGAATACTCTCCCAATATCACTGGGAATCAGGAATGATTATCATGTCTAAGAATCACATCAAATTTGTTTTCCTACTCACATGTGACAACAGAGTAGTCCCCAATACTCTCAGAGTGAAGATCACTCTAGATGAGTATTTGTTGAACTTCTGCTCATTTTATTGACTTTGTTTTTCCCATAGCAAATTTTTATGCAGTAGGAGGAAATAAATATTTTTAAAATTACTTCTGGACAGATTCTGAATGCTGCAGGGTTTTGGTTTTTTTAAGATAAAAGTCAGAAGAAGAATAAACAGAAACATTTGTCTTCTCACATGCTTCAAGGGCTTTCAAAGTCATTTCAAAGTGGTTCTTAAACAGAAAGAAAAGAAGTTAAGACCACAACCACCTTAGATCAAGTGCTTATATCCCACTGAGTAGGATTTATGTATAAGTGTTTTGTTGAGTGGGGTTAAATTTCAACATGTTAAACTTCAATCTTGATGCTCATCATGGGATAACCTGTTTTCTTTATGAAGTCCTACTATACTGAAAGTCCTTACTATACTTACATAGCTGAATGGATGCGAATGCCTCTGTCAGCACTACACCATTGAATTTGCAGCACAGTATTTCAAAGCATAGAAATCTTTGCTTGCAGCCAGAGAAGTAAAATGATGCAGTCAGTCCTGGCTACTTGAGGAGATGCAGATAAGCTCTGTGAAGCTGAGCTGCCAGCTCTGATAACAATTCCTCCAAGGCCACGCAAAATAAGGGAGATGTATTAAGGATTCATACCTAGCCTGAGCTTTTTAACATTTCTAACAAAAACACCCAAAAGCTAAAAGAGTCCCCTTTGCTGTAACAGAAAGGAATAATAATTACTTTATTATGAGAAAAGGAATCACAAGAAAATGGGAAATTCCCAGAATATTGGGTAAGTGAGGCTTTAGTGGGTCTGTGATTACCATTTGTAGTTAAGGAGAAAATACCACAAGTTCCACCAACACACTGACAAATCCCATGCTAAATATGCCACAAACACTGTGCTGACCACAGAAAACAAATAAATATCAAAGCAAATATGTGTGTGTATATCTAGGAAAGTGTTTGTGAGTGTTTTTATACATTAGTCTGAATTATAGGTAGGGGCAAGGCACTGTACAGTAGAACACAGGTAAAAGTTTAGTGCATTTTACTTTTACAAGTTACAGCCATATCAGACATCACACAGAAAATCTTGGTGTTTCTCAGAAATCGTGTTTACATGTGCCTGTGCATTGATTTCTCAAAAGAACTAGTGGGTTTTTTCAGTCTCCAATGCCTAGTGCCTGGCTGGAGATACTGAAAGGGAGACTGCTCTCTCAGAGAACGTGAGCTGAATGTCCATCCTTTGTTAAGAGATCACTTCAGGTGCCTGGAGTGAGGTGACTTAAAAATAGGAACATTCCCAAATCTCTGTTCATGTGGAAAACTGGTATACATGATTTGTAGCATAGCTTTTATGCATTTAACAGTCCTGTCCCTCAGAGGGATACTTGGTCACTGCAGCATTTATTTTCAACTTTAAATAGGATTGTAGCATTCTGATCCTTATCCAAATTGCAGGTTCCAGCTTAGTGGCCAAACTACCATGGTATCCTTTTCCAAAACCAAGTCCAAAAGGATTAACATTAAACTTGCCCCTGGTGAATTGATATCTGCAGGATGGCTAACTGTAATTTCCACTCTCCTGGATGAAGCAGCAGAGACCACAATGCTCTG